TGAATCTTTTGATGTTCAAAGATGTTCGTGGTCATGACACAGCTGTTTAATATCAATGAAAATAGAAGATAAAAAATGCAAGTGAAGGATTTCACGATGCATTCCACGCAAAATGCAGTGATGTCTCATCTTATTTTAAACATGATTAGGTAGTGAAAAAGTATTAGGAAAGCTCCATTAAAACTGTTCAGGGTATGTTGAAAATAAGTGTTGAAGCGCATACCCGAAAACCAGTACAAATGCAAAGCGTTGCTTGAAACATAACTCGACGCTTTGCATCAAATGTCTGGAGGAATCCCGGGAAACCTTTTCATTTCGGAAAGTGTTTTATTCAGTACTTGAGAACATGCCTGTCACAGTTGAGAACTATATCCATGGGTAATTCTTTAAGTATGGAAACAACGATGAAGAGTGCTTAGTTCCTCCCCAATGAAAAGTCACACGAGTTGTTCTTAAATGCACAGTGTCTTGCTCATTTTAGTATGAAAATAGCAACGAAGAACTTGTGCTTTTGCATCTTCAAGGTTCCAAATATTCACTCTACGATCCAGAAATTTCTACAACTAAGCCTTACGATGCTTCAACGTCTATAAGCAAATCAGTTATTCTTAACAAAGAAACTTATTTTTGTGCAGGAAATTTATCATTTTGTGTGAACAATGAAGTCAAACGGCAACACAAATGTGCAAGTTTTGCGAAAGGATGGGACTTAGCAACCTGATTGCATGTTGTAGTTTCTCTTTTTTTATGACACAAGTAGCTACATAACAACAGAAGCTAAAGTCCTGAATCTGTAATGAAGGTACGTACTTTTTACTGCTACAGACAGCATTGACTATTCCATTTTAAGTATTATATATTAAAAGGATTGTACTGTTGATGCTATAATGTTTACATAGATTGTAGTTGAAAGTATTAAGGTTGAAAAAATATGCTGGAAATAACGTTCTCTTGTGTTTTCTTATGTCTAACTCTGGTCACAAGGGTTTTGTAACAAAATTCTTTAAATGTTCTGTTAATGCTTTTAGAACAATTTGGATTTGATTGCTAAATGTTTACAACAAAATATTGAAATCAACATACCCCTTTCGAAAAATTCTAAATTGATGTCACAGTTTTTTATGGAGTAATATTGGTAGTAAAATCTTTTAGAGCCTAAAGACGTTTTAACTTCTTTTGCTAGTCTCTCGATAATTTTCAATCCATGTTCTACAAAGTCAATATTGCTTTCCCACCACACAGAAATGAAAAACATACTAAATGTCATGTCAAATGTCATGTCAAGCTGAGTGTTTGCGTTATAATTGCAGACTTTGCTTCAGATAAATATACGCTTTTGTTATTTTATTCAAATCCAGACTTTCCGAAGCAAGCAGAAGTCTTTCACATTTTTCTCTAACTCCTAAATGGACGCTTTGCTATATTGAATCAACGAAACTTCGAGACTTCTGCAACCTCCTTCAAATGATCTGGAAATATTAAAACACCACAATGTTCTCCAACATATTAGACAGCTTTAGCAAACGCAACGCGACGTCAACTAAGACGTCTAAATGTTGAGGAGAACTGGGTCGAGGACGACGTTTGTTGTCAAATTATTTTGGCTTAGCCTTTTTGAGACAGGAGTCGTGGACGTGAAAATTTATAGTTCACGTTCAAATAGTTTATTTTTTCGAAGGGAAGAGTAAAAACAGGTATTTTTACAAAATACAAATGTTTGGTAAAAAAGTGTGAGATGGAATGAAGTATTTGCCGGTTGCCAGTCTCCCTTAAATTTGCGCGATTTTGTCAATGCATCCTGGGATCGCCAAACGGGCAAACATTTGTTTAGAAATATATCTGTCATAGTGATATTTTCGAAAATTCTCAATTTAAATCACCTATTTCCTTTATAATGGCTATTCGTTGTGATGGGTATCAGTTACCAGTTGGGAGAAAAGAAGTAAAAGTATGTGGAGACGGCAATTGCTTATATCGAGCAGTTGCGTTTGTTATAAACGGTGAAAGCGACGAAAACTTTGCTCACGTTCAAGAAATGTGGAACGATGTTTTGATACAAGATCCGGCTACTTTCGACCGTATTAATTTCGATACGTATCAATGGAAAGGCATCTGGAGCGAAGCATTATTTCCGCTTCGTGGTGAGAAACAGTGGATATGTACGTTTGAGCCACGGCCTGATGCTTGAGCAGAAATAGTTTTATTTCACTCCTCGCCTGATGTTATGTCCATTGTTAAAATATAATCGAATTTGTGATGGTCCAGTCATTTTGGTCTTGCATATCTTTCACAGAGCTGCTTCCCATTTCAATCTTTTGCAACCTATCAATAGTTATGGTCTCGCACATTATCTGCCAATTAATACCAACCACCAGTGTTGGTTTATCTTGAACATAAGGAAGAACCATCTATTTCTAATGACCAATCACCTCAACTCAAAACTAGAACTGTATCTTGTCCATCAAAACCTAAAACATTATCCTGCAAATCCAAACCCAAAAGTGAGAGTGAGTTTGTATGAATATACCAATGTGAATGCTGTGGTTCAAGGACACTTGAAATTAAGTGCCCTTTAACATCCAAGAATATGCATCCCAAATCTGCATTTTTTTCAACAGCTATTTGTGGGAAAACTGATGATAGTGGAAAGAAAGTGTTGAACAGGAACCATTTATATTACTTTTAAGTCCAAATGTGTATGGCTATAAGCCAAATCGACAAATGTGATTTTATTGTATTTACAGAAAAAGGAAGTGATATAGTACAATTACCATTTGATGCTGAATTCTGGAGTGTTGTATTTAAAACTGTGTTTCTTTTCTATAAGAATTATATGATTAGTAGTCTTTTATTGAAATATGTGCAATTATAAAATTTTATATTTACAAATAATAGCTTTTCAAAATAAAAATATTAAGTATAATTTATTTTAGATTGTGTGATGATTACTTTATACCACACTTTCCTAAATTACATATGTACACAGAAACAAAATGTTGTCCAAAACTGGTTTCAATGTCAATGGAATAACTCTACTAAAATCTAAAATTGCTTTAGTTTCATATTTCCTTTCGACATGAGATCTTAATGAGGCAACATGCTGAGTATGAGTTGTTCCACAACAATAGGCAGGAGAAATAAGGTGAACTTTTTTCACCACAAGTAGATCTCTAACAATGAATCCTTTATCAGCCATGACACCATCACCTTTTTCTATCAAGTTCATGAGACCAGAGTTGGGACTTATAGCTGCTCCATGATATTTTCAGGCTACCAGGTATCTTAGGTATCTGGCAAATACCTTGTTCAATAAATAAGTTTCTTTTCAATGTTTTAACATTGCCCTGGCAATAACAGTCAATGAGGTGATGTTTATCACTTTCAAAGCTTTAGCTATCATCAGAATCATAACTTGTAACATCCAAGTCTGTTGTACAATTTATTTGTGGACTGTCTTGGAGCACAGACTCTGGCTCAGAACACTGCTCAGGAGCAGTGATTTCAGCAGCAAAAATGCCTTATCCTCATGCTCAATTTTATTAACAGTATTTATATCAGTGAATATAACTTATAGTACGCTATTATCTAATTGGATGTAGCCAAGCATATGATGAACATTCACTGAATATAACCTATAGTAAGCTCTTATTAAAATGGAATCCATGCTTCTCCTCTTTCAGGAGATGCTTTCTTACTGCTCCATGGTTGAATCAACAAAATTCCTCGTACAAATATCTGATCATGCAGCTCAGTCCATTTCATAGGAACACTAATTGAACAGAAAAATACGATTTCTTAGCAAAATAATGTAACCTCGAAGTATATTGCAGTTAAATAATTCATCCTTCAAAGATCTAATAACAATATAAACAGAAATACAAAAGCAAGTGAAGCTTGGACTTAACATGATATTTTAAAGCCTCAATACTTGTAAAATTATTATAAATAACTAGTCTAATATCAAAACAATTTACCTTGATGTTGTTCTTTCAGAAGACATCGATTGTTTGCAGGGGCGGATCTAGGATTTTCCAAACGTCAGTCCTAAACCGGCAAACGCCGGAGGCGTTTGCCCGTAAGGGGTCCGAGGGCATCCCCCCCTGGAAAATGTTGAAGCCTAGGGTCCCAGAAATGCGATTTCCAGCGTTTTGGAATAGCTTTACAACAAATTTTCAAAGTGAATGAAATCGCAGTTTGTCATTTTTTTCTTATAAAATATTGAGGACAAACACGCTAAGACCGTTTCACCCAATGTCAGGGCTCTTCAGCATGCCTAGGAAACACATAGTGCAAAGCAACAATGTGATTCCGGACATGGACAGTCTTTGATTTAGCAGCAACGGCGCATTAAGCAGCCAGTTGCACTGTCTTACATTTCTGCAACAACGGCGCATTAAGCAGCCAGTTGCACTGTCTTACATTTCTGCAGCAACGGCGCATTAAGCAGCCAGTTGCACTGTCTTACATTTCTGCAACAACGGCGCATTAAGCAGCCAGTTGCACTGTCTTACATTTCTGCAGCAACGGCGCATTAAGCAGCCAGTTGCACTGTCTTACATTTCTGCAGCAACGGCGCATTAAGCAGCCAGTTGCACTGTCTTACATTTCTGCAGCAACGGCGCATTAAGCAGCCAGTTGTGCTGTCTTACATTTCTGCAGCAACGGCGCATTAAGCAGCCAGTTGTGCTGTCTTAAATTTCTGCAGCAACGGCGCATTAAGCAGCCAGTTGTGCTGTCTTAAATTTTTGCAGCAACGGCGCATTAAGCAGCCAGTTGTGCTGTCTTAAATTTTGCAGCAACGGCGCATTAAGCAGCCAGTTGTGCTGTCTTAAATTTCTGCAGCAACGGCGCATTAAGCAGCCTGTTGTGCTGTCTTAAATTTTTGCAGCAACGGCGCATTAAGCAGCCAGTTGTGCTGTAAGACATTTCTGCAGCAACGGCGCATTAAGCAGCCAGTTGCAAAGTCAGTAATATTTCTACAGTAACGTAGCCATAACACATTAAGCAAATTTCAAACGTGTATTACCTTCAGCAAACTTATTGATCACTCTTTCTATGTCAGGAATAATTTCTGGGTGAATTCGCATTAAAGCCAGGCCATTTAAACGTTCCTCTACCATAGTGCTCCTTTGGTAGGTTTTTAGATTCCTCAGTGCTGAAATTGATCTCTCACATTCACATGAGGTGATTGGTAGTGTACCTAAAATGCGAAGAATAACTTTAATATTTTCAAATCCTGGAAATGTTACATGCTTCAGATGGTCTAATAAAGGAATAGTGATGGTTAGTATATAATGTTCTTTGAATGAATGACTGGGGGGATTAGATCGCATAGTTTGTCTTTCAGCAATTCGCTCTTTTGTTTCTTGAACGTTGACCTCTTCAGCAAGTTTTAAAGCCTCTTCATACCAAGTGTTATGATAAAAATTAATGCTTTTCCTCATGTTGGCTACATCATTCTTCAAAGTGGTTATCAAATGAAAACCATCCATAACATCAATAGTTTTTCCCTGCAACAATTGCGTGACTGGAAGAGTAGCATCAAGAATATTTCTTGTAATAACTAGCACAACAATAAAATGAAATTGAGTAACTAATGAAAGTAACTGGGAAACATCAGCAGCAAGGGAAGGCTTCACCTCGCCGCTTACATTGTTTATCATGTCCTGAAGAGTGTCGATTAAAGGGATAAACAACTGTTGAAACGTGTCAAGACTGTCAACTCTCTCAACCCATCTGGTTTTACAAAGACTTACCAGTTTTGCCTTCTTGGTCTGAACATCTGACTTTTTAACGTGCTCAGCAAAGGGTATGTTGCGTGTCTGTGATATGATGATAAAATTGGCAGCTTGAGAAACAACAGATAACATGTTATTAATTTCAACGTTAGAAAGAGTGTCACAGACAGACAAATTTAGTCGATGACTGTAACAGTGAGTGTAAAGAGCTTTAGGATTAGTTCTTAAAATGTGGGCTGCTAAACCATTTATATGCCCAGAAACAGCCCCTGCACCATCATAACCTTGTCCCCTGCAATCCATAATGGGTAAGGCAAATTTCTCTAGAGTTTCTAAAATAAGCTTTGAAAAATGTTGACCACTCAACCCCCATTTGCAATGCAGGAAACACATGAACTCTTCTTTAACATTCATTGAAGAGTCAACAAACCGTAGAACAAGGGACAATTGCTCTTTGTGAGAAGAATCAGCAGCTTCATCTGCAATGATAGAATAATATCTATTTTTTTTATCTCGTTTATAATATCTTCTGATATTACCTGACCAATACAGTTGATGATTTTGTTTTGGCTGGTCTTGGAAATATAACTTTTATTCTTGCCACATTTGAGCAAATGATTTTCCAAAGTTTGATCACCAGCTCTAACTCTAAAATTTAAAGATTCAACAAAATTACCAACATTGCCATTGACTGAATAGCAACCGACCTCTGGGTGAAATTGAGCATTGTCACGATGACCTCGTAATCCAATGTCAAGTCTTCCACAAAAAAGAACTGTATCAACAATTTGTTTAAGAATTTTCCTATTTTGCTCAATTTCAAGTTTTATGTTAGTATCTAAGATATTTTCAATGGGTTGAGCTACACCTGACATTTGAGAGCATATATTATTCAAAATTGGAGAAGTAGATGCATGTAGTCCCATTTTTTCCCCCTTACAATTTCCAGCATGTCGCCTAAATGTACCTACAGCATCATTCCAATGACGAAAAGGTGAACGAAATAGATTGTTTATTCTCGAGCATTTACTGGGGAATTGATGTCCAAAAGAACACATGATAAGCAATAAGCACCATCTTCTTTTGGTGAATAACACAGCCAGGTAAAATCTTTGAGCCATTCATATTTAAAAGACCTTTTATTGTTCTCACTCAAAGGAGGAAAAGTGTAATTTTCATCAGGTTTAAAAACATTTTTAATAAGCAAACAAATATCAGACATTTTCAAACCTTTAGCTCTTTTGTAGTAGGTAGCTACATCAAAATTGTGAATAAAGTTAGGCTTTACCTGTAAATCTTCAATGGTTTGTTCAGTAACCCTAGTACAAGAAACCTCACTTGTAGGTTTTTTCAGCTTTTGCTTTTTTTGAAGGCACTGGGCATGTTGGACCAGAAATTGTCCTTTTAGTTTTGCTAGGAAAAAAAACTAGAGGAACAAAATGATTAGGTTGGAAACATTGATCTGGTTTAACTATCCCTTTATAACAAAACAAAAGATGAATTGCATTGGCTGATTCTTTAACTATTCTTCTTGGACAAAAGAGAGTTGAATAATGATTTAGGCCTTCTCTCTCCACAATCTAGGTAGTAAGTAAAAATTTTTGTCTCCAACACAGAAGAAAGAGCTAAAATGCATGGAAACGATGACCACTTTTGGTCATGACAATTCAAAAAGGCCTCCTTTTTGACAAGATCAACACCTACAAAACCAGAATCTAGACAGTCTTGAGATACTGTCAAAGGTAAAATATTCTTTAAGCTGTTGTTGAATTCTTTATGCTGTTCAACAATTGAGGAAAATAAAGGATGTTGGCAGTAAAAAGTAGCATTCAAAAACAGCTCAAGTGATGTTAACTGCCTCAAAATATGCAATAAACTGTTATCACCTGCCAAAAGCAATGACACTGAACTGTAGAGACAGTTGCCAGATACTTCTGATCTAAATTGAATAAAAAAGTCGTGTTCCTATAAGTCCTCCAACAAAAATTTAACTAACTGGCCAGGAAATATCTAACATAGCAACGTAGTTACATGTAGAAGATAATTCAAAGTTCAAATATAAATTCACTATTCGCTGAATTTATGCCAATATTTATAATAAAATTAAAAGCCCAAGCCGTAGATCTTTAGTATACACTGCACAAAATGAAATCTGCTTCATTAAAATTTATACAACAGTCAATAGACATAAACCACATCTCATAGTCGCATAAATTGATATTAATGGTTTGGATACCTTAAAGCCATGCATACATTTCCTTTGTCCTCGTGTTGCTTACGCACGATTTTGGGGATGTAAATTTCTGCTGAGAACTCTCTGCGCAATGATGTTTCGTCTTTCAAAAGCAATGATAAGAATTCCTCTCTCGACATTTTAGTCGCCCCACAATATTCCTCATTCAAACGCAATTTCAATTCATTCAGAGATTTCAATTCATTCAATTCATTCATTCTCTTGCGAAATTGCAGTCTGAACAGCAGCATACATATCAATATTTAACATTGTAGTTTGTAAACGATTTTCCAAATAAATGCAATGAAACAGATTTTACAAACCACGCTATAGTGAATCACAACGTGATGATCTATCTCGCATTCCAGACACCACGCTTGACTATGTTAGCTCAGAAGGCTATCAGTCGAAATCGGTCAAACCAATCACAATAAAACAAAAATTCAAATGAGCCAATTGTAAGATAGCAATTGGACTCCCTTATAGGTCCGGCCACCCCTATTATAGGTCGAGATTATTCCAGACTGTCCACTGATTTGGACATTGACCAATAAAATAGCGTTTCTGGCGTTCATAGACTCCTTTATATGTCGAACCAGTCAAGCCACCCCGCTTATCAGTCGGCTATTCCAGGTCAATTAAAATTCAACTGATCTGGTTACCAAGGATATATTCATTGGATTAGTCATTAGTTTTCAGTAATAAATAAAGCTGGATTTTCATCACGAAGTAAATGCGATATTAAAGTAAGAATAATAATGAATTTTTAAGTAATATGAATAGGTAATTTTTGAATTTCAAACATCAGTCGCGCGACGGATTTGACATACTCTAGATCCGCCCCTGATTGTTTGTGCAATTTATTAATGCCGTTCTCCCACAACGTCAAATTAAAGAGAATGGCGTCGGGCACGGTTAGCGCGAACGGCACTAATTTGATCGGCGCATGCGTACACGTATTTACACCCACGTTGCCGTTGCCGTTCGCATTGCTGTCGGTTGAACGTAAGGTCCACAATATTAAACGTTGCGACGTTCTATAATAACAAAATTCGGCGCTCTGCATTGTAATATTGTGAGATTTTCTCTCCTTTATTGCTTAGTCATGTTACTTTGATACAGATCTTTACTTAATTATAATATACGTAGTATGACGTACGAAATACTAATAATTTACATAATAACTATACTACACCTCTCCCCAAAGTAATTAAATATATATTTTTTTAATTTTGTATCTACAAGTTCGTATATGAAAATATTAATTGTTTCTTCTAAAGCTAAATAGCTTTTATCTCTAAATTAACTTTCAACTTGTCCGTAAGGAATAGGGGCTTTACTTGTACGCAAAGGATACCGCCGTTCTTTTTCTTTATACTTTCCTCAATGGGCTCTTCTAGACTTTTCCCATTTTCTAACTTCTTGAAAAATGACGAATTACGAGTAAACAACATTCTATCTTTCTTCGCTGTTACTATTGAACCTTTTCTTTCCACGACTTCACGTGGCTTACCATCATAGGGTGTTTGTTGTTGATTATTGGTCGTATCTTTCTTTACCAACACAATATCACCTATTTTAATTTCACTTGTCTATAGGTTCCTGTTATTTTCTGCATGTAATTTCATCTTCAATTTTGCTCTTTCATCCTGTACTCGAATTCTTTCCTCTGTATCTACATGAAAATGTTCTTCAGGTAAACGTACTTTCATTGGTCGACCGAATAAAGCCATAAATGGAGAGATTTTGGTTGAACTATGAGGTGTGGCACGATAATTTCGCAGGATCCTGTGGATTTCTTGCTTCCAATATTTCCCCTCCATTATCGCAGCCTTTATTGTCTTTTTGATAGTATGCATAAGTCTTTCCACTTCCCCGTTGGCTCGTGGCCAATAAGGAGTAACTTTTCTGAGTTTAAATCCCAAATACTTTGAAAATTCGTAAAATTCCTTGCTATTGAATGGCGGTCCATTGTCTGAACGTATCGTATCTGGTATCCCGAAATCCGAAAGAATCTTATCCAAACAGGGTATAACAGTCGTTGCGGCCGTCGATCGGATCACTTCTACAATGGGATATCTGGAAAAATCATCATACAAAACAAACAAATATTCACCTGTGCCTGTAGGAGCTACACCAAAGTCCATACTTAGTTCTTTCCAAGGAGATCTTGGCAACTCTGACATTTTCAATGGTTCCTTTTCCCTGACTGGAGTTGTAATCTGACAGGGTAAACACGATTTAACTTTTCCATTAACTAACTCATCTATACGTGGAAACCGTACCTTTTCACGTAATAACGCTTTCATTTTTGACATTCCCATATGACCTTCATGAGCAATGTTCACTACTTTCTCTCGTAAATTTTCTGGTATGATTATTTGATGTTTTCGTTGAATTATACCCGAAGATATGCAAAGTTCATCTTTAATTTTCTTTTATGAACTAAATTCTGCTTGATTTACTCCTACCATCTTTGAACTCTCAAACCATCTACCTGTTTCAATGGCATGAATTACTGCTCGAAGAGTAATGTCTTTACTTGTAGCTTCTTCCAAATTTTTCCTGCTAATTGTTCTTGGTACCGAGTTCTGTGTAACGTAATTAACAAATTCTTCTGCTACTTTCTCTTGCCGGTTGCTTAGTTTCTCATCAGATAAGGGATGACGCGAGAGAAAAGCTGCAGGATTTTCAATTCCAGTTTGAAAACAGATTTCAAAATTATATGGTTGCAATCGCAAAGCTCATCGTTCTAATCTTGCAAATGGCTTTGATGATGGATTTGTGTATACTTTCACCAGCGGCGTGTGATCAGTGACGATGGTGGATATTCCTCCAAACAAATATAAATGAAAATGTTCGCAGGCTATACTATAGCTAAAGCTTCCCTTTCCAAGGGAGAATAATTTTTCTCTGTGGTAGTTAGTAATTTACTAGGGTAAGCAATTATTTCCCTTTTTTCTTCTCCCTTTTTCCTCTGCGCCAAGACTGCTGCAATACCAACTGGACTAGCATCTGTGAAAACCTCTGTATCACTATCCAGATCGAAATACGCACTCTCTGGCCCATCTGTTAATGCTTTCCGTTGGGCTTTCATTGTTTCTTCTTGTTATCTTGTCCACACGAATGGGGCATCTTTCTTGATAAGTCGACGTAACGGCTCTGTAATTGTGGCATAATGTGGAATAAATCGACAGCAAAACTTGGTCATGCCTAACAAACCTCGTACTTCTCCTACATCATTAGGATTTATGCATTCCTTAATTGCTCTCACTTTATTGGGATCCGTCACAATACCATTCTCTGAGAACACATGCCCTTGGAATATTAAACTTCTTTTGGTAAACAGACATTTCTCCTTCTTAAGAGTCAGTCCTCGATCTTTAATTCGTTGTAATATCGCGTTCAAATTTGCATCGTGATCTTTCCGTCTACGCCAAACACCATAATGTCATCACTAATATAAATCACTCCTCTCAGTCCACTCAACGTTTCTCTGAAGGCATTTTGGAATATCTCTGCAGCACAGTTTATTCCAAAATTCAAACGTCGAAATCTCCTTAGACCAATGTGTGTTAAGAAGGTTGTCAAATATCTTGATTCTGCATCGAGCTCTAACTGGTTATAGCCTTGATTTAAGTCCAATTTTCTAAACCATACAGCACCATTTAGATCACTTATAATAATCTGTTTCCATGTTACCATGAGAATATTTAAGTTGCATTTTCTAAGTTGAAATAAGAAAGTGCGTTTCAGTATAAAAATGAAAAAAAATCATTCTTTGAGCCAATAAATCTTTGTTTGGTCAGATGGTTATGATATGCAATAACCGCATCTTGAGATGAAAGATTTCTTTTGCCATCTATTTGGTCCCCTTTAAAGGTCATTATTAAGTTCAGATGGCTGATTGAGAAAAAAGACCAAGGCATAACTTGCAAAAGATCTACAGAAAATATACCTGTTTCCGAAGAGATTCATTAACCTTTGCTGTATCATAGATTGCAAAAAGCTTTTCAGATATAGAGGATTCTCTTCACAACTAAATCTTACATGAAGGATCATTCACTTCAAGAATTGTGTCATTTTTGATATGTACGAAGAAATATGTACGAAATATGTACGAAAAAATATGTATGAAGAATGCAAAGAGAGAGAGCAAGCAGCCCAGGTCACAAAAAACGAGTTTAAGAACATTTAAGTGCGTTCACAAATCACATAAATGGAGAAATTTCTTACTAAATCCCAAAAATAATAAAGCCCTAACGATCTTTTTGAGCGAAGAGTAGAGAACAGAAAAGTGGATAAATATAGGAAAAGCAAGAAAGTAAGTTTTTGTACGTAGCCTGCAAAGAGAAGTGTTACAAGATCTCAGCAAATGATACCCATGTTGTTGAAGAAAATCTTGCCGCGGCACAGTAATTGCTGTATCAGAATTTGCACAGATTTGTTCATGCTGTGTTTTTGCCATTTAATCATGTAATTACTTCATGTATATTTGATAAAAGTGGAACAACAACAAGAATCTAGTTTATCAATATCTCAAATTGTCTTAAGCCATTGATCCAGATCTGTGTCCAAGTTGCTTGGAATACATGCTTGTATACTATATGTGATACAGTCAGGGCTTGGCCGGTGAAGGAAAGTCGGAGCGATACGGCTTTTATAACAGAACAAATAATTTTAAGAGATAATTGAACTTCTTAGACCTATCAGAAGAGTTATTCAAGAAACTTCAATCTTTCACTACAATATTTTTTGCAGTCGTCCAGAGACTTCAGATATCAATGAGTTTCGTTACAGACTTTTTTGGAATCAAAAGAGAAAGCATCGACTCTTGCAAAATACAGCCTTGTAAAGATTGCTTGTACAAGCAATCACGCCGAACAAATTACAAGACAGCTGTCTGAAAACGCACTTTAGAACGTTTTCCACAAATTCCATGTGCAGTTGTATCTGGCTAGTATTATGAAAACGGCTAAGTGGCCATTAGTTAAATGAGTGGCGAACTTCTGCAAACAGCTATTTTGAAACTTTTATCTTGTTGATACTACTTATCATTCAAATTACTACCTGCAAATGTCTGGTGAACGTCTTAAAAATGTTTGGATAAGTGCACACTACTAAGGTTAATAAAACAAACTAAACGTTCATTTTTCCATACAGATGTAACTTTTGTCACATGGCAACAAAATTTTGAACTGTAATGTTACTGATTCATTGTGACAGACATAATGTCATTTTGGTACTAAAAAGTAGATTTGACACACTCATTAGATTTACTCATCATCTTTTTTTATTTGTCTGTTAGACATACGTGACACTAACTTTCGTCCCATGACTTACCAAGTTATTGTACTCTTTTTTGATGGTTATCATACGTCAAAACAAAGTTTCAGAACCGCAATTTTAAGATATGTATCTTTGTCCTTCTATCTCGCAAAAAATCCCCATTTTTATAGCCCTCTTGCCCATGGACTTCACAAAGTCAAATATTACAAATGGTGAGGCCTATGCCATCATGGAACAGCCAAAACCAAGATTATTGCAAATATTATAGTAATGCACCCATCTTTTCTCCTTTATTCAAAAATTAACAATGTTTTGCATGGCTGGTTGCGTCACACGGATGTTGAAAAGGAAAGTGGTTTGTCCTGCTTGCAATAAACCATTTGGTTTGAAAACAACAAACATGAATCTCCTCTCATTACTTTAAAAAAAGACAGTCGGCATTTAGCATTTATTCAAACAAACTGTTAGTGTCGTATCAACATCCGCTCAAACAGAAAGGTAATTTGGTGAAAAAAAATTTATCGTACTGTTGTTTTGTATAGATGGAATTGTTACAACATTAAATGCTTCATATAAAAGAAGTCTAAAGTTATGAATATCTTTAATTCTTGAAATATTTTAGCTTTAGATAAAATTTGCAAAAAAAATCCACCCAACCAGCCAAAAAATATGAATCTCTTTCGTAGTAACAACAACTTTTTATGCTCGATGTTTAATATTCTTCTTGCAAATTGATAAGGTGTTATGAAAAGAAACTGGCGAGTTCAGATTATTAATATATTGATCAAGCCTTGTTTACAGAGAGCAAGTCGTTTAAATTTACCACTTTGCAATACTCCGACAATAATATTAAATGATTCACCTACGAGTTTCCGAAAAATATACCTCTTACGTGTAAAAGGGTTTTACATTCTCGCAAAATTGTCTTTCTATGGCTTTTATCACCTGAGACTTGAGTGCATTCATACCATAATCTAAACTTGTGCTGTTAGTGCTCAAATTTTCAATATCCTTGTCCCTGTAATGCCTCATTACGGCCATATTAGTCGGTACTTGGTATGACCTATAGCCTTTCATCATCCATCGCCAAATATGTACGCGACAAGTAGCAGTGTAAAGGGGCTTTGCTATTGATTTTGCACGAAGATTACCACCGAGGACACTGTTTGATCTGTTATAAGTTGCAAAAAATCGTGGAACCTTGTACTTTAATTTAGTTTTACCAGGACAATGTATAAATTCAGTTTTTTTGTTAACGTTCCTATGGAAACCCAAATGTTGAAATGTAAAATGAGCGATTTTGCTGTCCTCTACTTTGAGCATCAGTTCTTTCCATTTCAGACCATTTTTGGGCATTATTACTTCGTCCAAGTCACAAAGTACCAAATACTTAGTCCAAAACATGTTGCGGTAGACGCAATCATGGATGGCCAATAGCAAAGCTCTGTTGTAAACAAGATAGGGATATTTTTACCCCAATTCATTACAGCATCAAGAATTTTAATCTTCTTTGAGTAATAATTTAAAAAATTTATTTCTATACTATGGGCTTCATAAACATATATAGTAAACCATGTAGCTCCTAGTGCTTTGTTAAGTTCTATGGAATCCATAATTCCTTGGTCATATTTACCCCCATAGAGTGGTGTCTCATAACAAACACCAAACTGGTGTTTGATTGATGAGGACTGATCAACTACGGGAACGAAATGTGAGATAGGAATCGTGTGAAATGAAGAAATGTCCTGTGACATCATTAAAGTGACATATTGTGGTCTGCCCACAACAGTGTTACATCTATACATAATTGCTCTATACCTGTCAACTTTAGACTTCCAGAACTCCGCTAAAATGACACCAAAAGCAGGTTTTTTTTCTATGACTCTTTGGTTCCCATTCATTATAAAACCACAGAACAATGCATTGTCGAGTTTGCCCATTTCGTAGCCTAAGACCACCACACTTCTTTTGAAATTTCCGTAACGGACTGTTTGTAAAAAACGCTTATCGTAATAAGATGAGAAAACACTGATTGTGTTTGAAATTCGTTTCCAAGAAAAGGATGAAGAACAACGAACACATTTTTTAGTTTGCTTTTTAAGTCGCTTTAAGAAACGTCCACTTTTGTCAGATGTTGTAAAATTTGGGGTTTCTTCAAATGAGGATATTTTAGCTACAGAAACATTTGTAACGTATCCATTGAAGTATGATTGTTTTTGAAAATTTTCAATCAAAACTAAGACAATGGCTATCAGAAAACCAGCTCTAATGAGACGTCTTTCTTTTTTCTTATAATGAAAAAATAAGGCCATGGCGTCAATTACTATAAAAATAAATCAAGCTTATTGTTCATTTAAATATAAATTATTCAACTTGTAAGATAAATGCGTGATATCTTAAAACACTCAATACTTACTGCTATTTATCTTCTGTGAACAAATATCGAACTGCAACTAAATACTGTGTGGTTTTTGTTCGCGCATTACATACACTCCCAAAAAATCTTAGAACTCTTGCTCCTCTATAGAAAAGATGACAAACAAATAATAGTATCAATTTTACTGAGATATCTAATTAACTTAAATGTAACATAGCACGTATAAGATAAACTAACAGCCACAATTTTAATACCACCTTAAGAAATTAAAAAAGAGCAACCAAAAATAATGGTAAATTTGTAAATATTAAGCGTCATAAATCAATTTAGTCGTAATATTGACATCATGCTAGATTATTTGTTCTCATTTTAAAGGGATTGTAATTTTGCAACACAGCATAGAGAAATTTCTAAAAAAATTTTTTTGTTTTGAAGTATTATCTAACGCTTCGTTTAATCCCAGCTATCAGGCTTATTTTGACAGCTCCTAAGTGCCTGATTATAACCCCGAGTTGAGCTGGCCCGGTTAGCAGGCTAGCCCGATACTTTCAAGGGATTGAAAAGAGCCGAAACTTCAAGGTTACAAATTACAACTGTTTCCGAAGCACCAAACGTCCCTGTTGTAATTCTCGTTATAGGGCAAACTGGTTGTTTCAGTTTTAAATGTTGCGAGAAGTTAATAAATCAGAATATTGTGAAATTGCTCGAGACGGTTTAATTAATGATAAGTTTGAATCGTTTCCATTTGCCAAAATCATTTAACGCTTTGCTGAGTCCCGGCTACCGGGCTCGTGTAATCAGCCTCTCAGACATAAAAAAAAATGGAGGTTTGATGAGCACGTTTACAAAAATGGAGGATCTGCAAAGGAGTAACACAATTTTTACCACCTAATACACCAAGATGAGCGCAAACATACATATAACTGCATGTAAACACTTGCTAAAATGCCCATGTTATGTTACATGAGTTATGTTATGAGGTATGAGGTAAGTTATGTTACATAAGTAACATAACTTACAGGGACGCCTTTATTTACAAACATATATTCATGATTTTGATATACAGACATACATACTGTTAACTTAGCCGTCACGAGAAAGAGTACTGTTGACAAAGGGATTCGACAGAAATGTCTCAATTAGATTCAGACAGTAAGGATGTACAGTTTCATGATAATGCTTTGATAAGTCACACCGATGAATCTAAAAGATTGATGTCAACGGGTAGGGAGGCTGATACCGAAGAGGAAACTGATTCTTGATACCAATGATATAAGAGGCAAGAGAAAGAAGTAATGTAGATTTTCATGATGTGAAAGAGAGCATTTTGAAGAGGTCTAGATGAGCAGTCTGGTGAAGATAAAATATATCTAATCATTCTATTAAAATACCGATCCAGAAAGATCTCATCCAGAAAAAATAATGCACAAAATGAAAGGAGTGTAAAGAAAATGATGATTTTAATCCGCCGTGGAAGCAGCTGCTAACAAGAACAATTTCATTAATGACATTTTAAAGAACACAGCTTTGTTGACACTGTCAAGGTTAAAAAAGATCAACAGTGATCAATTAACTTTTGTTACAAGAACCTTTATGTTTGTAAAAAAGTAAATGGTTCGAACCCGGAAGTACCGTTACATGTTTGTAAATGTAGATCGTCCAGGTTGGTATAATCCAGAGAAGGACTGTTTTTCTTGTTGTTGACTGACGTTTTGACAACCTTAGCGGTAGTCATCTTCAGGGTCAAATGAGGAGTAAACGTGAGGTTAGCCGTATTTGTTATCTGCTTCTTACGTCATTGTTTCGTGTGTACAGGAAGTATGTACTGTCATTGTGAATTAGTGTGAAGTGAAATGTTTTTTGTTGTGATGTGTGATTTATGTGTGATGCTTTTAGTTGTAATGTGTGGGTGTCAATTGTGTATTGTCATTGTTAATTAGTGTGCAGTGTAATGTTTTTAGTCCATCGTTTGTTTGTATTGTGAATAAGTCGTTTGTAAGGTGGCGGTAATTGCTGTGGTATATTCAGGGGTGTTTGTTCAGCGGGGTTTGTTCCGGAAACTTTATGTTATGTTAATGTTTCAAATTGGGAAAAATTTAAATGAACTGTTGTTTATATTTAGTCCGTGATCTGTGGCCGATCTTCTTTCATTCCCGTTGGACACCTCAAGGAAGGTCGTGAAAAATTCAAGACAGAGCGACTTTTACATGCTTAACGCAGTTTTACTTCTTGTCATCTCCAAAAAGCTGCAGTTTTTTTGCATTAAAATTTTAAAATTTGTAGCTCATTACAATTTCGGAATCCGCCATTTTCCTTATGAAACTTCATGTTATTTATATTTTGTGTGCTAGTGCCAGACCTAATAGAGAGCTATTCCGCACGATAATACTGGCAACATAAATAAAATCTCTGAAAGAAATGCATATTTCACTCGTGCATTAGGTTGGATTTTAGCAATTGTTGCGAAGATAATATTTTGAAAGTTATAATCGTATTGTGCAAGACAAGGCGCGCTTTTTTGAAAGGTCTGTCTCGAATTCGTCGTCAATGTCATCATCTAAAAACTCCTCTTCCTCAACATCATTGTCGTCATCAATATCTACATTCGTGCATGCAGTACACGACCATACATTTGTGTACTTCACTCCGGCTTTGTTACATGAACAACGTTGGGAGTTACAGCCACGTTGCAGCCAGTCTTACAACCACAATGAACGTTATCAAGTTGGGAATTCGGCGCTAGGGGAATGGTCATCCATACGATTTCAGACTTGCAGTTTCCCGTCACTCGTTTGCCACCCATTTTCATCCGGAGAAGTAATATCCATTTGTGGTTGTAAACAGAAAGGCCAAAGCGCGGCTTGGTACAAAAATGTAAGTTCCATAAACTTCCATTGCTAATCAAGAGTTAGTGTAAATATTGCTAAAGTCATTCTTATTGCATTCTGTATACAACTGAGAGGTATTTTGCAAAAAGAAGTTAAAAATCTCAGTTAAGAAGCATAAAATCTCAAAACACCAAGCTAGAACTCAACATTATATGATTCTTAGAACAAACTTAGCTACTATTTGTTTACAATATGTCAGAAGTGGTAAACTTTTGTATTTTTCAACAATCTCTTTCATAGGTTGTTATGATTGTTAATCTTCAGTTAAGGCTTTATGCTCAAGATCATGTTTTACAATTCAAGAAAGAATATTTTTCAGTGAGCCATTTCAGAAGCCAGAAAGCTGGGGTTTTTTGCTTGGGTTGAAACTTGTTTTATTGTAAATTTGATTAGCGAGGACTTTCATAGATAAAAGTTGTCTTTGTCATACCATGAAAAGGAGAGTGAAAGAGTTCTGGCACATTGATTGAAAAAGTGATCCTGTATATATATTTCTCAACAAGAAATGTAGTTACGATTCTGATCTATACATACTAATTTACTAATTTACTCTGTTGTCCTTTGATAAAAGTTTATAATGTTGATTTAAAATAAAGAATATCTGAATTATTTTTGAAGTCATTCTTTATATAATCAATGCATGGAAACAGCAACTAAAGATGGTTTTGGGACATTGGTATGTAATGGAGACAAGATCCTCTGTTACAAGTAAGTGAGCAAGCACTTTAATGCTTAGTGTAGGTTCTACAAAACCAAAAAAATGTTGTCCTTCTATATTTAAAAAGAGAAATTTTAGAGTTCTACTCTTCCAAAGTAAAGAATGGACTTCACTTATCCAATGTGGAGTGACCTTGTAGAAAGTGTGGTCAAAACATTGAATCAAAGTAATTCTTGTGTTTAGTGAGTCAAATAGCCTGATAGCAATACTTTTAAAACTTTATTTTTGCTCTTGCATCACTTAAAGCAGGTTAATCAGAAAAGCATGTACTTTATGGAATCTGTAACATAGCTGTAAGCTGCTAAATGTTTGTTCTACAATTTTTACATTTATCTTAGGCCTATGCATAATGATGTGCCTCTTTAAAAGCTTATTAACAAATAATTCTTTAGTGGTAATGATCAATTTCTTACCAAGCTTTAGTGTTTAAGGAAAAATTTATGGAAAGATGCGTTGCTATGCTTCGAAAAGTGAAGTTGCGCACGATTTAACCATGAGTTCTTAAAACTGACAAGATTTAGGTCTAAAACAGGCTTCTCCTTTGTTGGTACATAAGTGCAAAGGTGACAGTTTAGGTTTGCTTCCAAAATTTTCGATAGAATTCTTCATTTAAAACTTACATTTTACTTGGACTTTATTAAGAGTCTCGCCTTTTTGCCACCTTTCAAGATGGCGCCCGTTAATAAATTTGCCTCACCATGACAACGGCAGTTAGATCAAAGAGTTCCGCACCAAAAAAATGGCGACATTCAAAATTGAAGGAGCGAGGAATTTTGAAATTCAACCGCGAAATACTAAAAAACTGCAGCTTTTTAGAAGTGACAATGAAAAGAATATCAAACAGCAAGTGACTTTCTATCTATTTTGAAAATTTTGCGACCTTCCTTTAGGTGTCCAACGAAACTCATTTTTAAAGCATATTTTTGAGGCACAGATCACGGACTAATTGTGAAAAAACTTTCATCTATATCAAAAAGCCTTTATCATGGTTTCCGTTTCCATCATCTTATCTTGAAATATCATAATCATCAAATAAGTATGCAGTATGTGCGAAAATATTGAAGTTGAGCGTTGAAAATAAGGTAAACAGATAAAATTAGTCGATTCCTTTAGAAGATGATTATATTTTCAGAAAAAGCATTCAAATTTCTCAATACAAACTTGTTTAAAGCAATCCAAACTCTCCCAAGGCCTGAGCATGTGTGGGCAATATTTTTGGTGTAAAGAAGACAAACACTTGGAGTTGTTAGTTCTGTTTTCTGTTAGTTCACGGCAAAACTTTGTTTCTTTCGCGGCAATTCCACGCACGTACCTTATTGTTGACAGGCGCATGCGTATACCCTTTAATATACTGATGTGAATTTAGCACAAAAATCAGGCCACAATTGACGCAGCGCCCACAGTAAAGTTGAGATTATATGAGAACACAGAAGTGAGATAGAATAATCCTCCCAACGTCCTATTACATTACGTTATGTTTTCTTTTAAAGTAAATGGTTGAACACACGAGTATCGTTACATGTTTCTTAATTTAAATAGTCCAGGTTGATAAAGTCCTGAGAAGGACAATTGAAGTTTATGTTAGCTTATAGTAGTTTCGTCGCTCTTTACGATTTGACGTAAATTTGCTGGGTGATTAGACTATGACGTTGTATTTTAGAACTTAGTCTACATCAGCTGTGTATTGCGAGTACACAGTGTACGTCGTTCTTCAAATTACAATGCAAAATTGTCTCGCAGTGTAATTTTCATTATTACATTTTCTCTTTCCGCAAGCTTTGAATTGCTTAAACCATTGAGTCAATAGAGAAAATATCTGATGAGGCAGAAGAATTTCTTTTAAAAAGGTATACAGAATGACCTGGCAGCTTGGAAAGTGTGACTTTGGCTCATTAAACTGCATGGTACGACTCTCATCCTCACAGGCATATAGAAACCCAAACAAGTGTCATGTTGATAATCTTCTTTTGGGAAATTTTGATGAATATAATGACGATAATGCTCAAATTGCAAAATATGTAAAAAAAAGATCTTGCTGTAGAAAAATACGTAGTGTCTGGTCTAATAAAGAATTTCAATCCGAAACACATTATCCTGAGTTAATTATGCTCTTTACTCCATGGCGAAATGAACATACCGGTTTATTAGGAAATTGTTGATGTTCGGAAGAGCAGGAGAATATTTTCATCGTGTTCATATACTACTACATGCGCATACAGGAAAACAGTACATATTACAAAAGGTAACACGATTTACAGTGCCTTGCGTATACCAGCCAGTCAGTCACTAAAGAATTATAAACCGTTAAATTCGGCCAAATTAAACATGATGAAATGCGAACTGGGTTCAAAGTTCATATTACTTGATGAAGTATCAATGGTTGGCCATAATAAGTTCGCGATTAAATTGAATAACCGTTTAAAAGGTTTAAAAGCAATCAAAGAAGATTTTGGTGGTGTAAGTATAAATACATTAGGTTATTTATTTCAAATGAAGCCCTTAACGGATAGTTATATATTCAAAGATGTTCAGTGTTAAGTTCTTACGATATTGTTGCTCCAAACTTATGGAGAAAGTATCTCAGATTGTTTGAGCTGGATAAAATCATGCGACAGAGAAAGCAAGAATTTTGCGCAGACTCTCAATCGACTTCGTGAAGGTAATCACACTCGCAATGCCCATGAAAATTTCAAAGAAAGATGCATTCAAGAGACTGCATGTCCTACAAAACCCCACATAAGTTCATCCAAAATGCATAAGTGGATGATTATAATGATAAAGTTTATCAATCATTCAATCGTGCTAATAAATACAATATCAAGGCACAAGATAGCGTCATTGGAGCTAGTTCAGCTGAACTCAAAGAAAAGATAATAAGACAAATACTCCACGTTTCTCTTAAAATATTTGTCTTATTTTGTTGTTATTATCTATGTACATGCAGAACCATAGCCTCGTCATTGAAGCGTTAACAAAGCAGCTTGGAGCTATTTTATACCTGACAAAGACAATAATATCTACTTATCACAATCAACGTCGTGAACAAGTTGTATAATGTTGCTGGATGTATAAATTCTACATTCATTCAAATGTATTTTAATGGACAAATAATCTGTAGCCATAATCTGCTATTATTTACCTTATTATAAACAAATGTTTGGGCTTTTCAGTTTATGATCATTGATCAATCAATCATTGGACCGTTATAGTACACATTGTTTAAGATTTGAGACAACTAATATTGACTAAATGAGAAGCTGTTTACTATAAACTGTGATTATGAGTCTTTTATCCATGAAGCTTTTTATTTTGACAATTTGACTGTAATAGCATGAAACCTGAGAATTTCACATAGATGAAATATTGTGGCATGTCACATATTGTCCCCTTTTCTAACTGAACATCTCATGTAGAGATATTAAGGTGTGTTGATCTATGGCTATTACCAGATTGTTTGCAAGAAATTCTTAAGGGCTACTGATGCATGAAAAGCATTTTCTATAAAGTAAAAATGTCTTTCTATGTATGCAGATAAACCATGAAATTTGGAAAAACACAAGGTATTATTCATGATCACTAGGTAATTTTTCCAATAATCGTTATAATTTCTAAACTAAATTATTCCAGATTTACATTTAAACAAGTTTTGATTATATGAAAATATACTTATTATGACCAGTAAGAATAACACATAAACCAATTTTAACATTCATGTAATTATATGATTAAAGGCATATTGGTTACATTTTATTTATATTGGCAAATACTATGCTACTGGTGATTGAAATGTAGCACACTTTGCATAAACTTACAGAAGATAATAGTCTAGTGAAATGCCTAATAACCATTAATGGCATAAAGCTTTCCTTAATTGCAAATTTTCATTCTGATAATCTTTGTTTAATCTTTGGCAGAAAAAAAATTTATTTTTTTCTCAAAACGTGAATTTCCTGGCACTGTATGTGGAGATTGGTAAAAGGTTACAACAAACTTGTATAGCTTGAAGTTTGAGCTTTTCTACATCTATGAACCGTCCCTTGTAGTACCTTTTTTCAAACTTAACTCATTACATAGAGGTGTGAATGGGGGTCTCTAGGGGTGGGGGGTCTATGCCTGACAATTTGGTAGAAATTTTTAAAGGCAATATCTTTTTTGGAATAGCATTATTCTAAATTAAATTTTATTTTCCTAGGCATGGTAACGAGCCTTATATTTGTCATAACAATGAGCTTAAGTTTTTGGCAAAACATTCATGTATTGTTCACTGAGAAAAAACGTAAGCTAAATGTGCTTTTTTACGCAAAACGATGCCCACAAAAAACATTTTGTATTGCTCTAAAACGCTTAAAATGGCATTTCAAAGGCTTTGAAATTCAAAATTTCCCAGGAGAGAATGCCTCCAGCCTCCTATGACTAATGTTTGAAAAATCCTAGATCCGCCCCTGTCTCGTACTGGCAAGAATGATCATATTTTTATCATCAAAATTGCCAAAGAATTCTGTAACGACTTTACTTGTAAATATAACCTATACGTGTCAACTTATTAAGTCATTGAGAATCGATGCATTAAACCGATGAATAAAACGTATACGAATGATCAGCACTATTGCTCGATTTCATTAAATAATAATAACAATCAAACAATCAAATAAAAGTCAACTTTCATATTTATTAAATCATGTCAAATAACATATCAAACTCACATGACAGATGCATCTCAGCTAGCAGGCCAAGAATGCTATGTAAATTTTGAAACGCTAAGTACGGACGTAATTTTCACGCAGTTTTGATCGGTAGAAATATTAGACTACGACAGGAATCATTATAGGTTTAAATAGGACCTTATTCCGTCAAATAAATAATGGCTAGATTACCTTCTAAGCTTTATAACTCCAGTAGTTTCGTATCCTCTCTCAACCTCCAGATTTCATACTGCAAATAACACAAAAAATTCTTTGTAATGAGCACACAAACAAATCTCTTTTCCAACTTCATTAATATTCTTTCTCGCGAGTCACATGGCAAGCGAGTTAAAGTGTTTTATTATTATTGGCCGTCGTCTGTGTGTATCTAATTGTCGCGGGTAAAAGGTCGAAGGTAAAGTCGCAGTTTAAAAAACACTTTTTTTGCACGGAAAAGTTTGAAAAAAGTCAATGTTAAATTCACAGCGTTCAATCAACGTTCTCAACGTTCCCAACGTTGAATCAACTCTGCTTTCAACATTAAAATATGTCACTGGTGTTTGGATATTTAAGATATGTGTTTGCTATACCTATCCAAATATTACGGTGGCCTATAGGTGTCACGGCAACATTTGAATGCAAAAATCTCACGGCAACATTTGAATACGAAAATCTCACGGCAACATTTAAATACAAAAATCTCACGGCAACATTTAAATACGAAAATCTCACGGCAACATTTTTAAATACAAAAATCTCAAGGCAACATTTAAATACGAAAATCTCACGGCAACATTTAAATACAAAAATCTCACGGCAACATTTGAATACAAAATCTCACGGCAACATTTAAATACGAAAATCTCACGGCAACATTTAAATGCAAAAATCTCACGGCAACATTCGAATAAGAAAATCTCACGGCAACATTTAAATACGAAAATCTCACGGCAACATTTAAATGCAAAAATCTCACGGCAACATTTGAATACGAAAATCTCACGGCAACATTTAAATACAAAATCTCACGGCAACATTTGAATACAAAATCTCACGGCAACATTTCAATACAAAATCTCACGGCAACATTTCAATACAAAATCTCACGGCAACATTTCAATACAAAAATCTCACGGCAACATTTGAATACGAAAATCTCACGGCAACATTTAAATACAAAAATCTCACGGCAACATTTGAATACAAAAATCTCACGGCAACATTTAAATACGAAAATCTCACGGAAACATTTGAATACGAAAATCTCACGGCAACATTTGAAAACTCACGGCAACATTTAAAAACTCAAGGCAACATTTGAATACGAAAATCTTACGGCAACATTTGAAATTCTTACGGCGGAAGCAAAGTGAAGGAAGTTAAATCATTGACTTTTAGTCTAAAAAATATAAAATGGCGGAAAGCATTGAAGAATACGATGTCGATGATGACCATGAAAATCTTGAACAAAGCAGTGAGGAAGAGTTCATACGTTATTATTTCCTAAAAGGATTTCCATACAAAGAAATTCTTAACTTCATAAGAAAATATCGCGGTAAGCAGATTAGCATGAGTACATTAAAGCGAAGAATAAAAATTAATGCCCAACATAAAGTTCTGATTAGAGCCATAGAAATAGACCAAAAAAAAAACAAATTGTAAAATTTAAATTTATTGTGACGTTTCGTCTTTACTCAAGACATCTTCCGACAAATAATAAATACGACGTTACGACAAGATATTATATTTACAAAAAGGTGTTAAATTACTACTAAAGGAAGCGGTGTCGAATGGATACATGATAAGGAAGTTTGGAAGTGAAATGAAGAGAAATTAAAAGAGGTTAAGTGGAATGGAGTTTCCTTGCACATTAAGTGAAGGCTTGTGTTTATTGATTAGAAGGCTTTCATGGATGGAGAGTTCATAAGTATCGTTGGAAGAGGAGATTATTTTAAAGTCGTCTAAGTTGGGGGTGTGTCCAGTTGCGTTAATGTGAGCAAGAATGCTTGATGATGCAGGGTGGGAAACTTGGTTGCCTGTAAGGGGTGATATTCCCAAGTGCTCCGAAAATCTGGTGTGTAGATGACGTGTGGTTTGACCCACATACGAAGCGTTGCAGCTTCGACACTTGAATAAATAGACTACACCAGATCTCAGAAGTTTGGGAATTTTGTCCTTAAAGGGGAAGAAAGAAGAGATACGTTGAGAAGGGCGGAAAACAAATTTAATGGATATATGTGGGAAGGCTGCAGCACAAAAGTTATTTATTTGTGTGAGAATTTGAAGGGAGTGTATGCCGGTGAAAGGAAGACAGAAATAGATGGGCATTTTGTGAGCAGTCAAGACAGGTGGTTTAGGGGCAAAGGTGTCGTTAAGGAAGCGACGTGTGATTTGGTCAATTATACGTGAAGGAAAACCGTTTTTGGTGAGTGACTTTCTGGTAAATTCGAGTTGTGTATGAAAATTTTCGTAAGTAGAGCAAAGATTGAAGATTCGGTAAAGTAAGCAGGAGACTAATGAAAGTTTGTAAGTAAGTGGGATGAAGCTGTGGAAGTTGGTGAAGAGGCCAGTGAAAGTAGGTTTGCGGTAGACGGAAGTGGTGAATTTTCCATTAGTACGAGAGATATCAATGTCAAGAAATGAGAGCTTTCTGTTTTGTTCGACTTCAGATGTGAATGTGATGTTAGGGTGTTGTCGGTTCAGGTAGTCAAGAAAGAGAGGGACGTGATCGGAGGAATGAAAAAGTAAAAAACAGTCGTCAACGTAGCGTCGGTAAAGTAGTGGTTTGAATGAAGAAGGACAATTATTGACAAACTACTTTACCGACGCCACGTTGACGACTGTTTTTTACTTTTTCATTCCTCCGATCAAGTCCCTAACTACTACCTGAACCGACAACACCACATCACATCACATTGAACAAAACGAAAGCTCATTTGACATTGATATCTCTCGTACTAATGGAAAATTCACCACCTCCGTCTACCGCAAACCTACTTTCACTGGCCTTTTCACCAACTTCCACAGCTTCATCGAACCTTACTTACAAACTTTCATTAGTCTCCTGCTTACTTCACCGCATCTTCAAACTTTGCTCTACTTACGAAAATTTTCATACACAACTCGAATTTACCAGAAAGTCACTCACAAAACGCCTTCGTTGAATCGCTCTTGCTTCACAACATGCCTGTTTGACTGCTCATGCCCACTATACTGCTCCTTCAAATGCGCGCAAAAATCGGCGGCTTCCCACATATATCCATTAAATTTGTTTTCCGCCCTTCTCAACGTATCTTTCTTCCCCTAAGGACAAAATTCCCAAACTTCTGAGATCTGGTGTAGTCTATTTATTCAAGTGTCGAAGCTGCAACGCTTCGTATGTGGGTCAAACCACGTCATCTACACACCAGATTTTCGGAGCACTTGCACGGGCAACCAAGTTTCCCCCCATCATCAAGCATTCTTGCTCACATTAACGCAACTGGACACTCCCCTTAGACGACTTTAAAATAATCTCCTCTTCCAACGATACTGAACTCTCCATCCATGAAAGCCTTCTAATCAATAAACACAAGCCTTCACTTAATGTGCAAGGAAACTCCATTCCACTTAACCTCTTTTAATTTCTCTTTTCAAAACTTCCTTATCATGTATCCATTCGACACCGCTTCCTTTAGTAGTAATTTAACACCTTTTTGTAAATATAATATCTTGTCTTAACGTCGTATTTATTATTTGTCGGAAGATGTCTTGAGTAAAGACGAAACGTCACAATAAATTTAAATTTTACAATTTGTTTTTTTTTTGGTCTATTTCTATGGCTCTAATCAGAACTTTATGTTGGGCATTAATTTTTATCACACGTATTCGATTTCCGCTCGGCAAGTCTCTCGCTACACGAAAAATAAAACATTTTGGTCTTCGACGAAAAAACAGCCATTATGATATGGACGTTGTACGTGATGCAATTCGTGCTGAAATAGACGGTCAAGGAGGTTGCCGAGGTTATCTTTTAATATGGCATGCCCTTCAAATCAACGAAATTACTGTACCTAGAGACGATGTGGCAGGATTATTAAGAGAGTTTGATCCAGAAGTAGTGCAAGAAAGATGTAGACGCAGATTGAAGAGAAGGATTTACTGGGATCCTGGAACAAATTTTTCCTGGCATTGTGACGGATATGATAAGTTAAAACCATATGGCTTTCCAATCCAAGGATGTATAGACGGATGGAGCCGTAAATTATTTACAAAGATTTTGTAGGCGTTTGGAGCGTCTGAGTGGTTGGTTAGTAGTTGAGTCGATATTATTGGATGGTATAAGATGCGTTGTCATGGTTTCGGGTGTATGGATTGCGTTAATGAAATTTGAGTGTTTTATTTTAGTCGTTGTGTTATTAGTTTGTTGTTTTGGTTTTGTCTTTAGTTGTGAATAGATGATGGGGATGTCAATATGTCTGCTTATTGTGTTGTCTTTGCTGTACCATGCCTCTTTGAATTCTCGTGCGTGTTTTGTCTGTGCGCGACCAAGAAGTTGTTTTTTTGTCCAGTCAAATGTGTGGTTGGTATCGTAGGTATGTTCTGATGGTAGTGATTTTGGGTCGCGTAGTTTGATGGCATTCTTGTGTTCAGTGAGTCTTGTTTCAATTTTCTTGGATGTTTGTCCTATGTACTGATTGGGGAATCTTTACATGGTATCATGTAGACCACGTTGGTTGTGTCAAATGTCGTTGTTCGGTCTTTATGTTTAGTGAAGTATGATTTGAGTTTGTGTGTTGGTTTATGTGAGATGTTTATTTTGAATGTTCGGAGTAGTCTTAATGTCATTTCTGATGTGCCGTTTATATATGGTAATGTCACTATTTTTACTGGTTCGTCTGTATCTTCGTTAGGTTTTTCAGTTTGTGGTTTGTTGTGTATTTTGTTTAATACTTTGTTGATAAAGTTTCGTGGGTAATTGTTGTTTATGAATGTAGAGTATAAGTAGTTGCGTTCATTCTTCTTGGCTTCTTCTGTATTGCAGTGTGTTTTAATCCTGTTAAAGAGAGTTCGTATGCAACTAATTTTGTGTTGTGTTGGGTGATTGCTGTTAAAGTCGAGTATTTGGTCTGTGTGTGTATTTTTGCGGAATACTTGCGTGTTTAATGTGCCGTCATGTGATCTGGTAAGTAGAATATTTAGGAAGGAAATCCAGGTTAAAAATCCAGGTTCTGACGAAGGCTCGAAGCACCAAGTTGAAAGCTTAATAAAAAAATTTCAAAATAAAATCCAGAGAATCCTTATCATTATCATAATATGCCTGGGTTACCAATTTTCAAATAA